CGAGGACCTTAGTTCCGGCGACGGGCGGGCACGAGTCCGAAGACGCGAACCCGAGCCTGCCGCTGCAAATGGTGCGAAACCCGAGAGCTCGCCATGTGAGGAAGTGTGGAAAAGACACTAGAAGAGGATTTGCTCTTGCTCTGCTAGCTATTGCGGACATTGAGCGAGCAAACGAGGGAGGAAGGGAGACGATGATGCGGGGTTAGGGTTTAAGAGTTGCAGAGGGTTTAGCGCCGACTTCCAAGCCGGAAGGAGTAAAGCGGCTAATGCTACTCGCTAGTTGAAGGAACTAACGTGTCCTCAAAATAAATTATTTTTTATATAAATTTTACAAAATTATGTGAATTAAAAAAAAAAAAAGGTTCCGAATTAACAATAAATATAAAATATGACCTTTTAAATTTTATATAATAACAAGCTTAAGTACATTATTTAATATTTAATTATTTTGTTTACTTTAGTTTGTAGCTAATTTATTATTCAATTTTGGAAAATTAAATTAATGTATAAAATCCTCTAAAAAATATTATATTCCCAATATTTTCCTCACAATGCATGTACGGAAAAGATATTGACAAGAGTAGTGTCAATATCAAAATTTGTACATAAGCTATGAGCTCATTATATGATGTATCCATCAAATGATGTTGATCTTGGTCATAAGATGTTAGTTCATATTTTTAGACCTTTATGGCAATATGACAATGGCCTTTTTGTGCGTTGGATTGATATTCCATTATCATGCTGTACGGGGTATGGGGACGATCGGGTTAATTGTCAAATATTGATACTAGGTTCACGAGTAGATGGATATCCCTATACATTCTTATTGGTATCAGTAAGTAAGTTAAAATGAATAATTACTGATTTTATACACAAAATTAAAATGTCACTTAGTTATTTATCTTCGTAGGTTGTTTTCGGAAAAACTCGTAATAGTAAGTATGAAATACAACGTTTTATAGTTAAATGTATTTGCTTAAATTAATGGTTCCATTATTTATTTTGTGATTTTTACCTATATTTGATTTTTCGTATAAGTGATTAGTGTGATATTCTTACTAAATTAGTGTAGCTTACTATTTCATTAATAATTATAAATCAATAAAATAAATATCTAGATTTATATCAGCATAATGATTATAAGTAATTTACCTTACGGACTCATTTTAAGTGCTAGTGAATATTAACTCCTGTGATATCTATTTATTTATTTTTAATTACCGTTTGTTTTTTTTACGAATAAATGTAGGAAAGATATTATCGTAATTCTATTGAGCATTCTAATTTACTATATAAGAAATGTAAACTCTGATATTATTGCTCACTTCCGCATTAAAAATAATAAATTTATTTTCTTTAAATTTCAAACTTTACAAAAAATATATCATTATCTAATTTGAATGAAAAAAGATTTCAATGGGCAATGATTAATATTCTTTTTACCATTAAAATAAAAGAAAAATTCAAAATTATGGGCAAATAAACTGATTTTATTTTTTAGATTGGTACCATTTACTTTCTTTTTTCTTGAAAAATAAACCCACTTCCGAAGAAAATCCTGTGTGGTTACCCACATCCAAGTTGGTAAAAAACCTCCACACTGGTAAAAGCCTCCATTTTCAGTTCATTTCCAACCGTTGGATTAAGATTATCAAAATCCCAGTCCATGATGAGATTATATTTTAGGCCCAAACTCTACGTTTGGTAACACGATAACAGATCCTCCATTTCCGTGCTAAAAGTCCCCAGGCATATAAACCCCGCCGTCAAGCCGGCTTCAAAACGCAGTCTCTCTCTTCCTAAAACGAACAACAGCTCGAATGTTAAGAGCTGGACTCCGATTAGGCACCATGTCCGCTTCTGCCATGGTGTCATATTCGTCGTCAACATCGTCATCACTTTCACTTGCCCGGAAAAGCCCTAAGTCGCTTTTCCCTTCGAATTCCAATCTCTACAATGGAGTTTCGAACAGTCGTGTCACTTTCTCCACTCCATTCGTCCGTGCTGTTACGCTTCGATGCCTCGCGTCTTCGAGTGGCTTTGACAGAGTGAAAGTTCAGAATCCTGTCGTTGAAATGGATGGTAAAGTTATCTTTTCCAGAACATATATATATTCAGTTTAATTGTGTGCGAGTTTATTGCTCGGGCTTTATTATTCAGAATTGATGATAAAATGGAGGAAAATGAACGTGCACGTGAATCATTTTGCGATGTCGTGTATTAGTTTATGCTGTTATTTCATGTAACACTTCATTGTAGAGAAGCATATTGTTCAGTTAAACTTTGTTAGTGAAAAAGATCACCGTCTGTTTTGGTTCTGAATATTAATGATTAGGATTTATTATCTATTTATTATCTGATTCTAGTGTTATTCTCTAGGGATCGATACTGTGAAAAAATTGATTGTTTCTTCTAGGAACTTATATTCATGTTGGTGATGCGCAATCAGAGGTTGAAGGAATGAAATGAGTTTTTCTATTGGAATTTTGTGGGTGTAGTTTTGGTTTTTCATCAATTGCAGTCCAGATTTGTTGAGAACATTGCTTTACCTTCGGAATCCAGCGAGTCATGCCGTGGAATTTTATGTTTTGATTTTATTCCCTGCCTGTACTTGTGGGGCCCACAAGAAACCGGGATGGATTTTTTCTGATCCTTTCCTTTTTTTGGCAACTAGGTGATGAGATGACAAGGATCATTTGGACAATGATAAAGGATAAAGTATGAATACAGACTTTGCAATGATTCTCTATCTTTCTCTCTCTCCCGTACTGTGTTTCATATCTTTAAATTTTTCAAGGCTTTTAATTTGTCTTAACAGGGTTGGATGTTTATTTAATTGCAGCTTATATTTCCTCATCTAGATTTGGACATAAAATATTTTGATTTAGGGATACTGAACCGTGATGCAACTGACGACAAAGTTACTGTAGAAAGTGCTGAAGCAGCTCTTAAGTAAGTTGTGAGAGAAAAAATGTCTGGTTCATTAAGGTTCCATCATTTCATTTGTATCTAAGTTCTGGCGCTGGCGTGCATAAGATTATGATGGACATCCCAAATAGGAAAACATATTCACGAGGTAGTTGTAAGTCAAGGACATGACCGTAAATCATAGATTAACAACAATCAACTGGGAATGACTATGACTGTAATTCTATACATACTATATCATTTGAAGATCCTAGTGAAGATAATTATTAAGTACCTGAATGAAGCTGGAATAGTTTTACTCATGACAAAAAATGGAAATAAAATGGGTTGAAAGTTTGAATTCCTTAAGAATGTAGTTTTTTTTTCCATATAAGTGTGGCATCTGAAGGGATATGCTATTCAGTTTTAACCATTTCTACTGCAGGTATAACGTTGCCATTAAATGTGCCACCATAACTCCTGGTTAGTTATTCTTTTCATTTTCAAATGTTGCAGAGCCATAGTATTCTGGGAATCATAAACCTGTAAAATATGCTGAAGATTGATGTATCTAGTCCATAGAAAGTGTATAGCATGTGGCCTAGCTGCTTCTTGTAATATTCTCTTGTAATCCATAAGCATTAGTACTGTAATTGCAGATGAGACCAGAGTGAAGGAGTTTGCCCTGAAGTCTATGTGGAGGAGTCCAAATGGCACGATCAGGAACATTCTAAATGGTATGTTATTAGCAGAAAAGCAGCACCCTCTTTGTGCTTTGTGCATAATGATTTTTAATATAAAAGAAGTATGGTTCTTTCCAAAAAATATATATATATATATATATATATATATATAAAAGAAGTATGGTTGGCATTCTTTATCTGAAAGGATTTTCAATTTTGATGGTCTGGAATCCACTTTTTTAGCCTTAACCTTTGTACAAATGTTGGATGATGCAGTTAGAATGGAATAGAAGAACTTTTGAAATGGGGGATGGTTGCATTCAAATTGTTAACTATAGATGGCTCCCCATTTTGGGCATTTGGTTCAATGTTGATATTTTAGTAGACCATCTGGAACTTTTTGGTTCTTGTGGACAAATCTAATTGTAAATGATCTCTCTCTTCTTGTTCTCTGCATCATCTATTATGTGTTTTAATGTCTTTTTTGTTTTCTTCTTTGCTATAGGAAAAGAAGAAGTGTCTTTAACGTGAATCTGTAATGAAGAAGTTGGTCTTATGTAATAGGCTTAGCTGCTAGTTTTGGATTTTCTCGTTTTCATCAAGGCATCTACTAAATTTCATTTGTTTCCTGGGGGAGGAAAAAGAAGAAGTCTCTCTTGGGTACACTTCTTAGAAACTGTCTGGACTGCATATCAATATCAATGAGAAGCAGCTTTGTTTCCTTCTTTCTGCCGATTGAAATTTTATTAGTGGGTCCTGTTTGGGCACATATTTAACGACCATATCCATTTATGATTCTGTTTGCATAGTTTACTCATTGGTAAGGACATGAAATTCAACTTTCTGGCTCTCATGCTTGTCTACACTATCTTGTGACTCTCTTTTCATTGGATTTGTTACATTTTTCACATGCATTTTAATGAAAACATTGATTTGCAGGAACTGTTTTTCGTGAACCTATCTTATGCCATAATATTCCAAGAATTGTACCTGGTAATATTTTCTCCTTAGCAAAATGTGAATGTTGGAGAAACACTGTTAACTGTCATTTAAAATTTACTATTGAATTTAAACAGGTTGGAAGAAGCCCATATGTATTGGTAGGCATGCCTTTGGTGATCAGTACCGTGCAACAGATACAATTATTAAAGGGCCAGGAAAGCTTAAAGTGGTTTTTGGTAAGCTGATTCAGTTATTCCTCCCTAAAAATTGGAGTAGATAGGATTTCTCCTTGTACATCTTTTACTCAACTCAGTTCTATGTGGTTTCTTTTATTCAGTCCCAGAAGATGGACAGACCCCTGTGGAACTTGATGTGTATAACTTTAAAGGCCCAGGTGTAGCACTTGCTATGTACAATGTTGATGAGGTTCGTCTTGTGTTTAATGGCTTTCTCCTGGATGGGCATTTGTCGATTAACGACAATGATAATCCTTGTGTCTGCAGTCTATTCGAGCTTTTGCTGAGTCATCAATGACATTGGCATTTGCAAAGAAGTGGCCACTTTATCTGAGCACCAAAAATACAATTCTTAAAAAATATGATGGCAGGTAATTGATTTCTCTTTTCTAGTAGCTCCTTCGGTTTGGATATTCCTTGTTTAAATGAAGTAACCTTTACTCCCCATTTTGTGGACAAATAAGCTTGATGCTCAATTTGGTGGACTATCACAGGTTTAAGGACATATTTGAAGAGGTCTATCAGGAGAAATGGAAGCATAAGTTTGAAGAACATTCAATATGGTTGTTCTTTTCTTTCCTATTTATAGGACACATATCTTCTTGTCTGTGTCACCATGTTTTCATTCCCTAGATTCTTATATTATGTGGTGCTCAGGTATGAGCATCGGCTAATTGATGATATGGTGGCATATGCTCTAAAAAGTGAAGGTGGATATGTTTGGGCATGTAAGAATTATGATGGAGATGTCCAGAGTGATTTACTTGCTCAAGGTGCTGTTAATTTATTCTAACTTTTTTGGAGTTAGTTCAGATATTTGGGCATTTTTTTTTTTGTATTTATGTTTAGCTTCCCTGGTATTAGTGGTCAGGGTACAGGGAGAAAGGAGTGAAAGTGGAAATGCGAGTATTTTTCCTTCTAGCTTTCTATGAATTTTTTGTGGATGATAGGGCATTTTCAAATGTTGGTTACCTAGTAGATCTTTCTTTGACTAGTGCAGTACTTTTGTAAACTTATTTAGTCATTATGTTGTCTGAAACTTTGTTTTGTTTAATGCAGGATTTGGTTCTCTGGGCCTCATGACTTCTGTCTTGGTATGTATACGATGCTTATCAACTCAATGAGCATGTGCTTTACTTTGACTCCTGGTCCATGATAGCTATTTGTTGTGCAGCTGTCCTCTGATGGGAAAACGTTAGAAGCTGAAGCAGCTCATGGTACCGTAACTCGACATTTCCGACTGCATCAGAAGGGACAAGAAACCAGCACTAACAGCATTGCTTCCATATTTGCATGGACACGTGGCCTAGAACACAGGTTAGTTTTAAATTGAGTCCATTTGTAAATTTATTTTGTTGCAATCCACTATCAGATATTTTGATTCTGACTTTTTGGTCTTTGTTTTATTTTATACAAAAAATGGAAAATTGGGTATCCTCCGAAAACAGAGAAAATGGAGAAAAACTACCTAAATTGTAGAAAAAGTAGCCGGCCAACATCTCTGCAAAACTGAAAGAAATATTCTTATTTTCACAGATGAATAAGTATTTTAGGTATTCTAATTTTTGAAGATCTTGAAGTCTGCATATTTGGTTCTCAATACAATCTTTTGAAAACAAGAGAAGAATATAGTTTTGGTACATGAGCAGTGAGCATATTAGCACTCATATCAAGTATTGTTCTTTTCACTTACGTAGACGAACTATCCTTTTTACAGATGCTGGACATTTATTTTCATTGCATTTGTTTTTATGTGATACATTTTCTTTGTATTCTCCGATGATTTTCTCTGTACTTATTTTGACCTGATCCTTTTTCTTTTCTTGGTTTTCCCTCAAGGGCAAAACTGGATAAGAATGAAAGGCTGCTAGATTTTGTTCACAAGTTGGAGGCTGCATGCATTGAGACTGTTGAGGCGGGGAAAATGACAAAGGATCTGGCTATTTTAATCCATGGACACAAGTACGTAAATTTTTCCGTGTATTATTTAGGCAAAATATCCTCTCTTAATAACAGTGATCTTTCCTGCTGCCACTTGTTGCTGTTTTGTCCGGCTGTCCGGTTTTTGTGGTCAATGATCGATGGTTTGCTGGGTGTGAGTTGGGTTAGGGCTGGGTCGATTAGGGAGGAGATTTGGGCATGAGAAACATGTTAGTTTAATTCCTTTAACTATTTTTTGAGTTATCTGGAAAGAGAGGAATAGCAGAACCTTTGAGAGTATAAAAAGTGACATGGTTAAGATTAGAGAGAGATGGTTTCATTTGTTTGGATCTTTATTGATGGGGCATGACTTGTATAGGGTGGAAGATTTTGGGTATGTGATTGATTGTCTTACTAACATGTAAGTCTTTTTGTACATGGGTTGGACCTCCTTGGTGCATTGATTATACCATTCACACTTTTTATCTCCAAAAAAAAAAGCAATCTTTGATGAATTGTTTTAAGAGTTGAGGTATAAAAAAAGATGAATCCTGAGCAGAAGAAATCCTAATATTCAAATTAAGCATGAAACTTTTGGAGAACGAATATCAGAAAGTTTAGAACGTGTTCCAGTTGAGCATCTTGATTATCTGGAAAGTGCATGTCAGATTAACTTGAATCAAATATCGAGGCTGCCTTGGAGGGCATGTAACCTGTGTAGAAACTTGTGGCCATGTTAAGTGTAACACCCTTAGGTGTTTCATGACACACATTATACTCAAACTCTTTACTCATGAATTCATTCAAACCAAACATTTCCTGTGCATTTCAATCATTGAGTTTGTCTAACTAAATTTTCACAACTCGTTTTACATTCAATCATGTCAAGGTAACAAATAAAAAAGATTAAGGAAAAGTTTTTATTTACTATAGAGAGATAAAGTAAATGGATATCCCATATAATCCAGCATGCATTCATCTTCCTATTGACTCGCTTCCCCTAGGTATGGGTCTTACTGG